GGTGTGGAAGTGCCATAACTTTATGTTGCACTCCAATGGCAACAAGCCCAGACTGCAGATTTTTTAATTGTATGCGAGTTAAATGTTTTGAAAACTGACATAGCAGTTTTCAAAATCTCCTTTCAGAACAGCTGTTACACCCCCAAGGTCGAGGGGTCCAGGGGCGGCAACATAAAATGTGTCCAGAGAAACAAGTGGAAAGTAAAATGGTTTATTGCAAAAGAAAGTTTCACAAAACAATACAATTTAACCCAATTAACACAAAAGGGATCAACAAACTCAAGAATGTCAGGTGCAAATTAAAGTTACAAAATGTCAAGACATTTTGTAACTGTTTTGACATTTTCCCAAAAGGGGAAGAACAAAGAACACACAAAGGGAATCCTAAGGGGAGCACCAAGCCTCCCAAACACGAGCTACTAGCTTGTGAAATTAAACTAGAGCAGTCAAACTGCTTAGCAGAACAAGCAAAAACAAAACAGTTCAAAACTGCCTCAGCAGTTGTACAAAATGGTTCAAAATAAACTACCTAAAGCAGTTTCACCACCAAACATGGGTGACAGCTTCACAAATCCTCTTCCAACTAGCTTCCCTACTGGAGGAATGGACTCAGGTGGGCCTCATTAACATCTGATTGGCTTGCCAATCCTCTGCTGGTCCAATGGTGTAGCTGCTCTCCTGCAGCCTTCAGGCAGCCAATCAGGAAGGTCAGGCAGCCAATCAGGAAGGTCAGGCAGCCAATCAGGAAGGTCAGGCAGCCAATCAGGAAGTTGTGCTCTCACAGCTGAACCTGCATAACAAAAGGGGAGCCTGCACAGCCTCCAGAGGCCAGGGGCCAACAGCTAATTTCCATTGTACTAAACACTGTGCCAGGGGATTTGGAGCAATTTGTGTTGCTTTGTAAAGATTATCTCTCAATGAGAGAAATATGATCATATTTGTTTGTAAAAACTTCAGATAAAATTGTTCTGTGACTGATCTCAGTCTCCTGGAAGAGGGACAGATATTTATGTTACAGTTCAGTATGAGCAGGAATCCTTCCTGTCCTCATTTGACATAAATGTCAACTTCACTCTCGGTTGAAGTGATCACATTTTCTTATAGTACCACTGCTGTAACACCGCAAACAAACCCTTAGAAAACAGAAAACACCAGTTAATACAAACGTTCTATCTCAGCAAAAGCAGATGAGGTTTAAATCTTTTTCAACCTGAATTTTATCCATGTGACAATCTATTTAATTCTTCCATTATCTTTAACTAAAAATGTTTATTAGTCTGAGAGGACAAAACAAGTTACAAATACCCTAACTGGTGGTTTAGAGGGTATAAGTATATTCACAGTGTTGTTATTGTGATGGTGAAGTTTTCTAAGTTCTCATCTGTAATTGTGTTGTTGGTTCTCAGATGAGTGACGTCGAGGCCGGAGGAGCGACAGTCTTCCCTGACTTTGGGGCTGCAATCTGGCCAAGAAAGGTGATAAAACCTGAAATCTCTTTGTTGTTGTTGTTTTACTGAATGTGTTTTATTTCTTCTTTCCATAGTTTACAAAAATCTTCATAAGATTCTGATGTTAGCAGTATATTTAAATAATATACCAAATAATTCTGATAATGAAACTTGTTCTAATCTCTACTATAAATAGAACTTTTTACAATATTTGTTCCTTTCTTTGTTGAATAAAAACTGAACTTTACTGCATAATTTTACCACAAGGATCAATTGGAATGTATCTTCTTAACTTTGAATCTGTCATGATTTCACTTTTTTTTTAGACATATGCTATATAAATAAAACTGAACTGAATAAAGAAATAAAAATAAAACTGAAACAAATGTATCTACAGGGAACATCAGTGTTCTGGTATAATCTCTTCAGAAGTGGAGAAGGAGACTACAGGACCAGACATGCAGCCTGTCCAGTTCTTGTAGGGAGTAAATGGGGTAAGTTTAGATATGTGAGAAAATTATAAATGACTAAGCTGAACTTAATTTATATATAATAAAGTAAAAAGGGGAAATAATCTTTTTAGTGGTCTCACAGCAGATCACTAGTTACTGCCAATAAATAAAGGATTGCCTGATTAAAGTTTGGTGCATCACTAGTTTTTGCTCTTAGACACTAAAACACAGCATGTTCAGATCTCTTCATTTAACAGTTGGTTTCCTGAGGACGTATTAAAATGTGTTTAACACACATTAAGTTGACTCCACAACTGATTATGACTGTTCAAAGGTCTCTGCAACTCATTCAAATATCCCTGGATTGTGACAAATTTGAGAAAAGCTCTTTAATTGTGAAAGGAGTCAGTGATGCTGCCACAGTGAGTGTTGGTTGTCTAAAATTGATTTTCACTGCTAATTTCCTGGAGATGCTCTAAAAGCATTAAAATGTATTAAAAGACATTCCCACAACGACCACACAGTATATTCCTGTCATAGCACAACAAACCAGCTCCAGCTTGACGGGAAGGAACCTCACAAATATATTACACAACTCTGCACTGCAGTCCAGCACGAGGATTTTTATTTCACCTGCATATTGGAAGTTTCTGCACATCCATCATCAGTTCCAGCTTTGCTGTGGAGGAAACATCGTAGCTTGATTTTCTTGTCAGTAGCATCTCAGATTGAAATCTTATGGAGAGTGTTTTATGTCCCATCATCTGTTGGGGTAGCAGCATCAGAGCCGGTGAGTTTAAAAAGGCTGGTTCTGTTTGAGGGAACTGCTCTGCAACAAAGCTTCTTCATAAAATTAAGAAAATTAGACAACCCAGTTTAGTTTCTTAGATGATGTTGTCTGAACTTCGGTCTATAGCAATATGGTTCTGAAAATGATCATTTTGTTTTACTGTATATTATGTGTATCATTGAAATGATGCAACAGAGTTACACTAGTTCTACATAACCTACACACCTGACTCCACTCCTGCCCCTCCGGTCATGTATCCTTAGATGTTAATGCTTACACACCAATTGCTCTAATCCCAACCCTTGAAGAGAATTTACATTATCCACTTTGACAGTTCACACTTGCTCACTCAAAAAGCTGTTTTCAGTCCAACACATTTTACCTTCAGATTTTTATATTTTTCTCTGATGTACAATTTGGCCATGAGTAATTACTGCTGATATGTCTTAGAGGCTCGTCATTATAAGCCAGGTGCTGAAGTGGTTATTTAAGCACAAATTTCTAAGAATATTTGGAAGTTGACAGTAAAGCTGTTGAATCACCTGATGAACTTGAAAGAGATTGAGATCAACAAAAATCTAAAATAAAGCTTTCTGTTACTCAACAAAATGTGTTTTAATACTTGGTTGCAAAAAATTATTGGAAAGAGGTCAGATGTTTTTTTACGTTGGTCTCCAGGTGTGTGCACGTCAAAGCAGGGACTTTGGTTTCCTTCTTTTTACCTATCAATTCTAAATCCTGAATTTATCTAGAATTTAACTTCACAACTCAAAGTTTCCTCCCTCCACAGGTTTTCTATGTGATTAAATTCAGGAGGGAGAAGTTTAATTTGACATTTTCTGTCAAGCAACAAGTTGAGTTCAGAACCTTTTTAAAGGAACATCGTGTGAAATATGTATGTACCATGGACACATAACTGGTCTGAACAAATCTGGATTCTTCCTGATTATTTCAAGAGCAAATCAATTTAGCACTCTCTTTTTCTAAACAGACCATAATAATTCTAGACTGTTCATTTCTTTGCACTTTAAGTAAACCTACAAATTCAACAAGGTGTGACATTTCCTCAAGGTTTCTATGATAAGAAGTGTTTTAATTTTTTCTGTACAAATCAGAACCATACAGAGGATGACTGTTTTTCAAACAATTTTCTCCTGATCACAGAAGATTTAAGCCACTTTTACTTTTTGTATGTGTGAATAGTGTCGAACAAGTGGATACATGAGCGCGGACAAGAGTTCAGGAGACCATGCGGCCTGACGGAAGTGGACTGAAGCTCGCTCCATGCCTGTGTTTACCCTCCTTAGTGCCTGTTTCAGGCTAAATGTTGCAACACAGGCACATTGTGCAAAACCTTTCAACATGTCTGCATGACTAAAAAGTGGTTTGCAGGGGAGCCGACATCCAGAGAGCTCAGTGTCTCAGTCATTATTGTCACTACCCTGGTTCAGTTGATCAGACGATTAAAAGACAACAATTCTGAATTTAACCCTCATGAATATCATGATCAACATTTTTATTTTCAGAAATTCACATCTCTTTTAGTTGTCTGCCACCTGCCTGAGGTGGCAGACAAGGTTTCCTTAAAGCACTAGAAGTGCAATTTAAGCTCTATGGTGAAACATTTTCACTACTTGTTCAAATTAAGTAGCATTAAAGCTACAGAGGAACCAAAGTCTTATTAATGTGATTTGTTTGTACGGTAGATGTGCTGCGTTTATGTTTTACTAACTATTCCCACGCTGTCTGATGCATTATGGTCTAGTGTGAGTAACAGCTTTTTGTTTATTCTCACTGCAGATTTGGAACAGAATTATATTGGTTCTTCTTCAAAACTTGCAGCAAAACACTGTCTGCAAATTATGTGCATTTTGTTTTTATTTATAGTGTGCTTAAATTATGACATTTTTGTATTTTCATTCCCCAAGTTGTCAATCAAAAGGTCAATAAACAATGTTTTTATTAGATTTCCTTGCAATTGATGTTCTTTATTGATCACCAAGTGTAATCAATTACTATTATTATTATTTTACAAATTACTCTGAAGAGACCATTCCTTGTGGTACAAGGATTCTTTACAGATTCAGATGAAAATTGGTGGAAGATGGATGGATCCTATCCACAACCTATGACCAGAAGTTGTTAAAAAACATATATAAGTTATGTAAATAGATATCTATCTTTTTCTATTTCATAATGCAATGTTCCTTTTTCCATTGTCAGCAGAAGCAACCCATCACTGGGCAGAGTTGAATCTTGAATCTTCACCTACTTGAAATTCATCTGGTGATAATAAATAACGAGCTAAACTAAATCCCATTTCGGTTTATTACAGTATTGATACTGGTTTGAATACATGTTTTATTGTAGCCTTGCAAAACCAAAGAGTTCATCTGAAACCATTTGATCCAAAGTTAGAATGAACAACCGATACAAAGTGACAAAAGTTGGTCAGAGCAGCACAGAAAAAACAAAAAACTTTTAATATTAATAACAATTAACAAAACCCCTTATTAAAACGTTATATTAAACCACACAGTTACAAAACGATCAGCTTTGAACAGATTGATTGTGAGCAGTCGTTACAGCATGTTTAAGTGATGTTGGTGTGTAATGTGTGAAAAGGCTCCCAGCTTAGCGTTTTGCTGGCCTCCTGGGTTTCTCCAGGTATGGCATGTGAGTAAATGAAAGACACCTGCTGGGTTAATCTCATTTATATTTGCCAGTTTTACTTCCAACATCAATGTAATTTCTTCACACCCTGCTAATAGGCCTTAGACATGTTGGGGCCGATGTAAACCTGGAATGTGGTACAGTGGCTCAGCCTTCGTGACTCAATGTGGTCCACCGAATCTGAGGCAAAATGGCTCCAGCGTGGGGCAGATGAAAGAGATATTTTATTAACTTGGTGTCTGACTGACACAGATCAAAGTGTGAACGCATTAAGGTGCTGATTAGCGATTCTAGAAAAAAAAAACACCTGCACAGTGCCTTACAAAAGTATTCACACCTGTTGAGGTTTTTCACATTTTGTCACATCACTACAAACCAAGACAGTCAGCCTGATGTAGAAGGAAATTTGATTAATTTTGAAAATACTTTTGTATTTAATCTTTATTCTGAGACCCCAAAATAAACTCCAGAGCACCTGACTGCATTCAGGACTTCTCTAATTAGTAAATGAAATGTTAATTTGTGAAGTTTTTAGAGGTTTGTTAGACAACTAACAAACCCCCTTAACAAACCTTGTTCACTTTAGTGAACAAAAAAACCTCACAAAGACCAAAAGCACAGCAGACAGCTCTGAGATAAAATAAGATAAAGTTTAAGCAGGGTTAGAATATAAATGGATATTACAAGTTTAGGCACTTCTCTCTCTCTTATTATGCTCATTTTTAAGTCTGAGAATGGCCCAGTCAAAGTTTGGAACTAAATGCATTTGGATATTTGTGCAAGACTTGATGCTCACAGATGTGATCCAACCAATCTGACAGGTTGAGTCTTTGAAAAGAAAGAGAAACAATTTTAGTCCAGTGACAAAATGTGAAAACGATGAAGGGATTCTGATATTGGATGAGGTTAATTATACAGGTTTGTACTAAACTTCTCCTAATAAAGCTGTTTAAATGTGAAGTATTTACTGTTCAAAGCTGATATACATAATCATAATTAAAACATCAAAATCTATAATCCATATTTGACTGGATATTTACACCTAATGTCCCTTATAATCTGCTTTGTTTGGTTACATCTTTGTTCTTCTTGTTCATGTACAGCAAACTAGCTCCAATGATGATATATATGAATATACATAAAAATAGATGTATGAAAATATATCCAGAAAATACACTTTGTTTTAGAGATGGCTGAAGATAGACCGTGGACCTGGATGGGTCATTCTCCGGCTTTGGTTCGAAGGATTTTGTTGTCTGAACATTCGGTGACTCAGACCTGGATCTCTGCTAGTAGACGGTCAGCCTGTCGGCTGAGCAGTTTGTTGGTTCTACCTCAGTGGGTCCGGCCGTCTGGGTCAGAGGTTTGAGCTCTGTGTACGGAGCGCTGCTGTCGCTCTCCGGTGTGGAAGTGCTGCGTATTTGGTCCAAGGTAGCGACGGGCTTACAGAGTGATAGGAAACGCTGAGGAAAGAGACGTGAAAAGCAACGTGAAGATTTGTCTTCAGAGCCTTTTAGGGGTGATGTATGAACAATAAGCATAGCTTATTTCATATGTGTGTGTCTCTTGTTAAATTTTAGCTGGCTATCCCAATCTTGTGTTGATTTTTCAAATAATCCTGCTTGTTGGGTTACTTGTTTGTATCTGTTAAGCTTTGGCTGAACTCGTGCTCACCTGTCGGAGTGTGCCTCGGCCTTTGATCAATTTGAAAAGCACAAAGAGAGGGATGAGCGAAAGAGAAACTGTGGCAAAAAACCATCCCAGGACATTTGCCCATAGCGGATAAACGTAGGAGTTACTGAACTTCAGTGGAGTATATTTGATAATCGAGAAGATGAAGGTTCCCTGTGAAGACACAAGACAGATGAGATTTATGAAAACATCAAATACCACAAGCTGAAGCCTACAATTCGTAAAAGATGTTTGAAAAGTTGAACATAATTGTTTTGATCTCACAGGTTTTCTTGGGGTTTAGGTTTTGGGGCTGGAATGATGAAGGAGTTCTGCGTTGGTTTGTAATTTGATTTAGTCATTTAAGTGGATCAGTAGAAGAGGATGCTCTCTTACTTTTCCTATTTTGAACAGACACATTAATACTCTAGGCAAACATATTTATTCCCCAGGAGGTCATTTGTTATTAATGAAATGTTTCTGGATACTCAGATCATCTTAAAAATAAAGTATTGATGCTTTAGTAACATTTATTTTATAGAATTAAAACCCTTCATGATTAGTTGCGTTTGAACTATAATAAAAGGAACATTGATAAACATACATGTATATTGATGACTTTATTGATCAAATTATTTTTGACATTGTTGACAGTATGATGCGTTTATGGTGTTTTTATGTTTCCATGATGTAAAGCACTTTGAACTGCCTTGTTGCTGAAATATTCCATGCAAATAAACTTGATTGATGATTGAAAATGATTGACGAATCGACATAACAGCCTGTTGACATCTTTATATTAATTAACATACACAATGTCAGACATGATGTCAGTGATTTATTTTACTTACAAAGCAAACCAGAGGAGTGATGTACTGCCAGCAGTACTTCATGAAAGGAAATGGATGATAGCCAATCATCTCCTTGATGTTGTCGTTGAAACGGTCTGCACCTGTTGGTTAAAGGCACTGCAGTGCTTGGCACAGTTCAGATGATGATGATACTAGTAGTAGTAATAATAATAATAATCATAATCATAATCATAATAATAATAATAATAATAATAATAATAATAATAATAATAATCATAATAATCATAAATAATAAAAAAGCTTCTTGACATAATTGTGGGTATGCATTTGCCAAAATCAAGAACAGTAAAATAAATCCAGGTGACTCACCATAGACCCAGCCAATGCTGACAGACTGGCAGAACGAGAGGATCAGCAGGGTGGAGCCGCTGCAGACGTGGTGATCCAACAGCTGCAGCAGGTAAATCCCACCCTGCACATGAAATGTCATCAAGCTTTTAGTTAAAAATAATATTTTAATTAGCACAAACATGTAAATGTACAAAGCCAAAATAAAAATGTAAAACATTTGAACATTTTATTCTCTCCCACTCTGTCCTTATTAATATGTCCAAACCTCAGTAACAAGTAAGAATCCAAACATGCAGAAGATGCAGGACATAAGAAGCAGAAGCAGCTCCCGCCTGTAGCCTTGATGCAGGTAAGAAGGGAAATGATCGACCAGAGAGGTGATCACACACTCTATACCAACAAACTGGAATGAAATTATTAGGGGGAAAAAAGTTATTACACTTATCGATTTATTCATACATTTATTTATATGACTTGAGTCTTGCTACCTGGCTGTCTAGTCCAAGCAGAATGATCATGAGGAAGAAACACACGGACCACACCTGAGGCATCGGCATCATGGCCACAGCACGCGGATACACAATGAATGCCAACCCAGGGCCTAGAAATGTTATTTTAAAAACAAATAAAATTAGAAATATACAAAATGGGTGAAGAAAATGGATCAGAGGCCTGGAGTACATTCAAAACCATATTTAAATAAGGCATTTAAAAATAAGCGTCTTCAGTTATTTAAACATGCCAATTTAAATAAACTGCATCAGTGACTCAATCCATCAAAACAAAATAATTTGTCAAAATTAGCATAATGCTATTTGTATGCTACATTTACTTAAGAGCTGTGTGTGAAAAAAATATATATCTAATATCGTTCAAAGTAAGAACCTGATGTTGCTACTTCAGAAATGTCCACGCCTTGTTCGAACGTCATGAAGCCCAAAACGGAGAAAATGGCAAAGCCAGCCACAACGCTGGTGGCGCTGTTCAGCAGGCACAAGTAGAAACAGTCCCTGCATGGGAAAAAAAGATGTACATTAAAGTTTTTATGTAAAATATGTAGGTAACAAAACACTAATAGTAACACAATAAAACCAAACTTTAATTCTGTACACAAACCCACAACCTGTTCTTGTTTACATTGTTCAGTTCTGTTTTGCTTTGTAAACTAGTCGGTCCGGGATGAAGCCACACAGTTTGCACAACGCTAACATACTAACAAAAAGAACAAGCAGCCATTGTTCACTGGTTTTGCTGTTTTTGACCAGATCTGGACACATTCTGACATTTGCAGCCAGGTAACATTCCAAAGTTGCCCCAGCTGTAGGGATGCAGTGACCCTGCAGTCTAGACATCACTAATTGGTTCTTGTCAAACTCAGTCAAAAGTAATACTTAACCATTTTTGTTCACAGCAAATCAACCTGAAAAGCAGATATTTTTCTGACTTCCTAATTCTGTAAATTGGCCCTCACTGTTGGGCTCTATTGTCAAAGATAATTAATGATCTTCAAATAACCATGGCGACGGTGTGTTCAGGGGGCCAGTGATAATTCTCTGCTTCAGAGCATTTTCATGCAGGGCATAAAGTTAACATTTTGGTTCATGTATTAATGTTTTTGAAGTTTGTGCTTCGTGACTTGTGGCAGAATGTCGATAGTTTTCCTTCTAACTGTGGCTTCCTTCCACCATCTCCTTCATAAAAGACTAAATTCATGGAGCACATGGGTAATAGTTGTGTATATTCCTCCACCTGAGCTCAGTATTCCTTCATCATGGCTGCTCTTAGCTTAGCTGGTCAGATTAACTGGATGGAAACGTCTTGGTACTTTTGCAGTTATATCAGAATCTACATTTTTACATTTTACTGCATGATGGATCAAACAGGACTTTATATAATCTTCAAATATTTTCATATTGCTTTTAACCTCTACCAAACATTACGTCTGATATGACTGGGGAATTTTTTTTATTCTTGATGCTGCTGCTGCTTGTTCACTGATGTTTAATGTATTGTTTTCATTCAGGTTCCCAATCACACACTGTTGTGTGTGAGTTTATGAAATCCCACATTTGTGGTTCATATTAATGTGTGAATGTTCAGGAGTTGAATACAGTTTTAAGACACATTTATTGAACTTACCTGTAACAGTTATTGTTGAAGGAGTTGTAACTCCCAAGAGAAGTGAGGAAACCAAGGCCGATTGCATAGGAGAAGAAGATCTGAGTACCAGCATCCATCCAGACCTGGAGAAAGTGAACAAACATTAATCTGTGCCTTCTTTGAACATCGCTCTCAATAAGTGTGACATAAGCGTTGGATATATATTTTTACCTGGGGATCTGAGAGGCGAGAGATGTCAGGGTAGAGATAATAAATGATCCCATCCAGAGCTCCTGGGAGGGTCACGCCTCGTATCAGCAGGATAAACAGCATGACATAAGGGAAGGTGGCTGTGAAGTACGCTGCCTGTGTGGGAAAAGAAAGAAAAGAAAAGATGTTTCATATATTTTACAGATCACAGAAAACAAAAATTATATGAAATCAAATGTCAAACAGGAACTGTTGTACAATATAGATGAAAGAAAGTAACAAGGACACAACCTGCTTGTTTCTGTCATATTAAGTACACACACAAATACACACACTGATATGTAAAAAATAATGCTGATCTCTGAAGTGTCAGACCTTTCCTGTTGACTTGATTCCTTTCCAGACACAGAAATAGCAGATGATCCAGCTCAGGATGAGGCACAGCACCAGTTCCCACCTCAGGCCACCCACCTCCTCGATCCCACCGGAGATCTTTAGAACTCGATGTCTGGTCAGAGAGGTGGCGGATGGGGTGAGAATGAAAGATTAGGACAAATGTTGAAAAGTAAGAAAACAAAATGAACTTTTTCTCTGTTTCTGCTGTCTGTTCTGTCAGTGCTAGTCGGTTGTGTCTGCTCTTAGTGAGCCTGGTTCCGTTGGAGGACACCAATTGTCCCCCAGCCTTCCTCTCCACTGTCGCCATATGCTTGATCAGTAGGTGGGATTGCTGCGAAGCTAATGTGATACAATCCAATGAGCTTGAATAGATAGACAACTTTATACCAGTTGTCATTATAAACTGAGTTTAGCAAGTCATTGACTTTTAATCTGTCTCTATGACTGAATTAGGCTTTAAAATTCAACACAACTGTATAGTTTTAAAACAACATTATAACATGGTACATATGGCTCAGCTCAGAAAAGTTGATTTTACGTAAAACCCCCCTTTAATCTCCAACAACAGACTTTGAAGCTAATAGTTTTAACAAACTATGGAAAAGTTCAAGGACAAAAATGGTTTACGAATAAAATAAAAGTTGAAAGACGGTAGGAGCTGCAGAAAACAGGACAATGGGAGATGGGGATTACTGAATAAAGAGATAAACCACAGAATATAAATGAGTGAAATATAAAATAAACTGTGAACTCATGCTTACTCCCAGAACTCTACAACGGGGAGCGTAGTGTTCAGTCGTGATTCCAGGCTCAGATTCAGACGGCTGTCGAAGCATGAGTCTAATGTGACAACATAAAAACACACCAGAATGCTAATTTTACACAGAAAACTACATGAAGCTTTATACTTTTTAAAATACAAAATAGGTTTTACAGCATTTCATACTTTGATCTGGATATAAGCAGCATCACAGGAACTACCTGAGTTCCAGGAGTTTCCACATGAAGCCCATGGCAGGTCTGAGCTGAAGGAGGAGAACAGGTAAAAAAACGCCCAAGCAAGGATTATGATGTATGAAGTGGCGCTGAATGCGATGATAAGGTGACTGGCATAACCGATGCCTGAGGAGGGAAAGACAAGAAATGATTCTGGTTCAATCAAAGTTTTCTCAGCTTTTTAATATCATTTAAATAAAACACTTAGAAAATAATGCAAACCCGATTAAGCAAGACAAATTACTTTATCATGTCAAACAACATAATCCCCATTAAAACTGAAAATGTTCCAATATGCCTTTATTACAGCAGCTTCTAACATTTGAACAGGATTAGTTCCAGCCTTTAACTGTCTGTCTGTTGGAGACATCAAACAACAGTTTAATGTTTAATGAGATACTTTAAAATGTGGTCAAAGGAAACTATCAGCATTCTCCTTCAAAATATTTAACATCTGTTTAAGGAAGTAAGATTTTTGTTTTGCAAATAAAATTCAAGTAATTATCTGATTTTTTTTTTCCAGCAGAAATCAGGCAGCCAACTCTTCCAGTCACCAGCAAGCAAGAGAAACTTACTTCAATGCAAACTTGTTCAAGGCACAATAAACATATGACATAAAAATAAAGAAAGTTTCCCAATGCCGCCCTGGCAGCTGTCCTTACAGCCAAGATTTGATGCCCTAACGTTTCGCTCATATTTGCTGATAATTCACTGCAATTGCTATGAAAAGACTAAAAATTAATCAAAGACTGATCTTTTTGAAAAGTAAAGCCTTGCTGTGTCCATGATGTCTGTACGAGTTAAACAGTCTTAAGTTTCAACATTTCAGTGAGACGTTTAAAGAAACATGAAAATAGTTCCGCGTGTTTCACCTTGAAAAAGCGGACAAATCTTCCGCCAGCATGTGATTCCCCCCTGGCTGGTGTACTGCCCTAACGCGGTTTCAAGAAAGAACAGAGGTATTCCACACGTAAATATGAACACGATGTATGGGATGAAAAACACGCCTGTAGAAAACAAAACAAAAAGTGACAGCGGTAAGGAGACAGAGGCTGCTGAAGAGCCAGAAGGCCGGAGCGCCACTTGTGTGTAAAAGCGCTCACCCCCTCCGTTCTTGTAGCACAAGTATGGAAACCTCCAAATATTTCCAGGGCCGATAATTGCCCCCATCACGGTGAGGATGAACTCCGTCTTGGTCCCCCAGTGGCCCCGTTCCTCCACTTCTTTGGACTTCTGAGTGAGTCCGTTTGATACACAAACCGCTGCGCTGCTTTTTATCCTGTTCGTTGTCATCTTCAGTCTTCTGATCTTTAGTTTGATAGAAGAAAAACGACCCTCTGAAGAGACATATGCCTAAATGCTGAGCGATCTGAGCAGTAGTAGTATATAAATGCCACGGTGCGTGTGTGAGTGATGGGGTGAGGAGGGGGGAGATGCAGCGATGTGAATGGACTTCTCTTATCAATGGGGGTTGAAACTATTTAAATTAGGGGAATCAGTGGAGGGCGTGATTTGAGAGGATAAAAAGTGTATTGAGGACAGGAGGAGGAGAATTATTTGGCTTTATTCTTTGAAAGTGTGTGTGTTTGTGTGTGTTTTCGCATTAACCATTAAGCACCTATTTGTCCCATTTTTCCAACAAATACTACTTTTTGAGGACCCGCTGCTTCCTACGGGACATAACCACTATCCTAAGAAGTTACTGCTGCCATGAGGGCATGAAAATTCATAAAACTCCTGGATTTAAAAAAAATAAAAATAATCCAGGATAAATTGTCTCCATTACTGAAGGCAGTGTAAGGAATCACTCATGGCATTATTCAAATCTGTGATGCTTCTTTGGTTTATCATCACAATATTTTTAACTCTTTAGTTAACTAACCTGAATTGTTTTAGTTGCTAATATAAGGTATTGTTATAATTGGAGGTCACATCCAGGGACAGCTCCTCTTCTCTGCTGAACCAATCAACTATAAATCTGCTGCATTTTTGATCCGGAGATCCTTAAATTCCTCCAGGACTGCTTCCTTTTCTGGCTCAAGACCACGGCCTCAGATGAGGCACTGAGCTTTAAATTCCGTAACAAAAGTAACAGAAAAACCCTGTAAATTCTAGACTCTAACAGGTAAAAATAGTGCACAAAAATCCGTGTAGGACGGCAAAGTCCTAGTGCAAAAATTCGCATGACAGGTGGACGGAGCCTGCTGCTGCAAGGTTGGAGACCTTGTCCTGTCAGGCGACGGGGCCTGGATAAACCGCATTAAACGGACGGCGGAGTCCGGAGACGACAGGAGCTTAAATTCCGTAACAAAAGTATGTTTTTATCTTTTTTTATATCATTTTTTTATTTATTTTGTTTTCCAAAATCTCTTTCTCTTTTTTACTGTTTATTCAATGTCACATGCTGTTTTTATTATGTAAAGCACCTTGAAATGCCTTGCTGCTGAAATGTGCTATACAAATAAAATTTGATTGATTGATTGATTTACATTCAGCTGCAAGCTGTTCCAACAAAAGCTGTAGATCACAAACAGATGAAGCCAAAAGGACTAATGATCCAGAATGCTGCTGCTGCTGTTCTGACTGAAAGCTTGATTTACTTCAGTGCTATAAATCAGTAGATGCATTAATTATGCACTCTGACTTGAGAAATAATGTCACAGCCAAATCACTGCTCATGATAAAAGAAGATGTCGAAATGTCAAAATACTATGTGGAGCTAGTTCACAGTGATTACCTTCTAGAGCAACAACAAGTAAGAGTTTATAGTCTTAAAAAGTAATATTTGTGTTGGTCAGAAACACAAGCAGCTCAGTCTGTTGTGTTTTGTTCTGGGTTGTGTTGTTTATCCTGTATTCCTCATCTTCATATCAACTCTTTGTCTCTGTCACTCCTGTACTTGGCTCCTACTCCACGACACCCTGATAAGAGGAAATTCCATCAGGACAACGTGGCATAATTGGAACAGTGCAGCCACAACAACTTAGAAAGTGAAAAGAAACATTTCCAAGCTAATGTTAAGTCCAGGAGTCTCCAACTTTATAATCATATTTGCCCCCAGTCCAGCGAAATAAAACATGCTTAGATCCACAAATGTCCCATAACCTTTTAAAAAAACACAACCTACATAAGTTTTTTTTGTAAATATCTACTACAGGAAATCTGTTGTTCTTAAAATAAAGCCACATTTTATTTTTGATTTTAGGTTTTTAAATAAAGAATAGCATGAAATATTTGCAGAAAAGATGGTGCTTTCTTCAGTGGAATGTATAAATTTAAGGAAAATGAAAAAGAAAAAAAAATATTTTCCAACTTAATGACAATAAAGGTAAAACAATATAATTTTTATCTTTTGTACCATTCTGTTATGGAAAATCTAAAAACAGCTAAAAACAACATTTGTTATCATGTCTATATTTAAAACAGTTTTACTGTTTATCATTTTAAGCCTGACTTATTAAGAGCCACAGGCTGGAGATCCCTGGGGTCAATGATTCAGTGACAAATCGCTGTACATATGAAGTCGCTGTACAAGTATATTTAACATTTTCACAAAATATTCTTTCAATCACTGAAAGCTGTTCTACCCCCAAAATATTCAAATATTTGTATCATTTAAATAACTGAGTTAGGTATCATTTCTAGGTTGTACTCAATAGTTTAAAATACTAGAAAGTAAAATAATAAAGGTAACCTTGTTAAATGTGTTTTTGAATAAATTGCAGTTTATACAGTAGATTTTTCAGCTTTATAGATTATTTTAAATAAATACAAACCTGACCAAAACAGCCAGAGAGAACTTGGAGTTTTTGTCAGTAATTGAACTCGCTGTTGATTCTGGATTCATGTATCAGATCCTGGGTTTGCCCAAAGGTTCATTACTCGGTGGTTCATTGATTTCTCACTATAGTGACATCTGCTGTTGAAACTGTGACAGCCTTGTCACTCAGATAGACATACTTAAAAAAATTAGTAAATGCAATTTTGTCACAAAGTTTTTGTCAAACTCATGTTTAGTAACGAGAGTCAATAAAATCCTACTTAACTAATCTTTTTTAGTCATTAAAATGATTTGTAGCCAATCCTGGTGTATGTTGACTGTCAGTAGATGTTTTGTCATTGACTGACTTGACAATAGACATTTGTTTTAGTGTTTTCGGAGTGCAGTGCTTGTTGGGGCAGACAGTACTCTTTGAGTTTTGATTTGTTTCCTGAAAAACTAAAATTCTTCAAAAATTCTCTTTTTCTTGGCTTCCTAGTTGACTCTCCGATCCCCTATATTTTGACTCATCAGGCCAGAATTTTACTATTTTACTCTTCCAACAACTTTAAGTCTGTTTCTGCTGTTCAAGACTGATATATCTTTGCAGAACAAAGAAATATTGGAAATTTCAGGAAGGTGTGAATTTTGGAGGTGAAGGGGTTAATTCTTTTTATTTAAGAATCTTGTGAGGATCATCTCAAAGTATCCCCAGATGTCAGATGTTTTCTTCTTGCTGGCTCCATGTCAATCAAGTTTATTTGTGTAGCACATTTCAGCAACAATGCAGTTTCAAAGTGCTTTACATAATAAAAAAAAAAACACAAATATAAAGTCACAAAATATACCATATCAACAGTTGAGAAAACCGGTAACAAACATTACATTTTGATGAGTGCCATCATCAAAATCGTTAATACACATGAACTAAAAAAGGTTTCTTTTATTTCTGCCACTGCTGAAGACAAATACTCCTTTGATGCGCGATCAAATTTAATAACCCATGCCATGAAGCAGCACGGCTCATCACGCTTTTATTTTGAAAACCGACACGCAAAATGAAGCAGTCATGTGACCCATGCAATGCGAGGCATCGCTTGTTGCTAGTCACGTGGTTTTCAGCAAGCCGACACAAGCATGCCTCGAAGCGGGGCTTCATCGGACACGCCCCCTTTCCACTCGATACACGCCTCGAAGCCTGGCTTCAGGTAGCCCATCACTACCTTCAGACAAAGAACTCGGCTCCAAATTTCCACAGAGACACCGCTGGTAGGGACTGAACATCAAACCATTTAACCTGCAGGCACGTGCAGAGAGGGGCTGGGGGTGCTTGAGCACCTGCCCTTTTTGCTCCTTGCCCCCAAGTGCCCTTTTGATTTTTTTTTTTTTTGTATTATTATTTCTTAAGCCTCTTTTGACACATAATAACATGTACTAAAATTATTTGTTTTTTGTTGGGGTTTTTTTTTGTACAAAATAATAAATCCCCCACCCCCCAAAAGTTTTAAAAAGTTTTTTTT